GCTGCTGCTCGGGGACTGGCTGGGCATCGGTCGTTGGTGGTGAGCAATAGTTTTCATTTGCATCACTTGTCTTTCTTGGGTTTTATCTATCTCTCTTTGTTATTTTTCCTTTTCATTACAATTTATTATTATTATCATCATCATCTTATGTTATTTCAATTATTAAACTGTCTTTATCTCAACCCCTGAGTTTTCTCACTTTTACCCTTCCAATTCTCTCTCCCATCCCGCTGGGGGAGAGTGAGCAAGCGGCTGTGTGGTGCTTAGCTGCCCGGCTGGGGTTAAACCACAACAAATGGTCATGTTAGAGGCTTCCAACCTTTTTCCTCAAACTTCCCCTACATTTGTTAGCCTGAAGTTAAATTTCCATTCTGATTTAAATGGGCAATGTACACAAAGTGCCTGCCAGGAAAACATATAGATGTATCTACCCTGAATACTGCAGACTCAGACAAAGGTATCAAAGGCAGTCTGACTGCTGGAAGTAGTAGCAGACAGCATCCCCCCGTCTGCAGCAGTTGCTCTCTCTAGCCCTGTGAGAGGTTATGCAGGGCACCCCCATCGTGGCATGCAGATGCGCCTGTTTGTTAGCTGTTTTCAGGTATATTACTGTGATTTCCAAGAGTTTTCAGGCAGATTTAGGAAACAGAGAAATAGAGTTTAAATGGCCACTCGGAATATTTTTTCTGAATCATGTTAAGTGAACGGAGTTATGCTGTCATTAAAATATTCAGAAGGTCTGCCAACTTTATAGAAACAATCCAGCTGAAGTACCTGAGTGCTGCCTTCTTCTTGGCCCAGTATGGCTATAAATACTTAATATTCATGGTGTGAGAAAGATCTTAATAAAAATATTTGGCTCGAATTCTTGAATGTCAAGAGCTTTTCCTGAGGTCCTTATCTCCTTAAATGCAGTCAAACCTCATAGAGTAATCGGGAAAAAATGTAGTGGAGCAGATAGGGTTATCTTAAAGCAATACCAGAGCAGGGAAATTAGAGATTTATGCTAGCCGTTACCTCTGACTTGGAGCCCAAATTAGGTGACCTAAGCTACTAGAACATCTATCAAAGGTAATTGTCAAGTGATCTTTTAAAGTACACACCTGTCCTGTTAAATAAAGGAATCTTTCATGTTGTGGTTAATATGGCTCAGCAATGTAGCTAAGAAAGAGATCCTGACACCTTTAAAAGTCTGCTGCTCTCTCGCTCTTTTAATGTATTTTTACACTGACCGCTCATGCAGTAGAAGTGGCACGGGGATGGACCTCAAAGTCAGCAGAGTCTGCTCCAAGGGCTAATGAGGCTGGTGGAGAATCCAGGCTTTGGGCTGACATTCTAGAAATGTAGCACAATTACATGTATAACGTAATGTAAGGGCTTCGGTGGGTAGGGGAAATATGATCCGTGATTATTCTGACCTTCATTTACCTTGTTGAATCAAGCTCCTCATTCACCGTGGGCTATAATCAGTCCTGCCGTCTGTGGTTCTTTGTTAAACCAGCGCTGTTTGTGTTTAGTCAGCTGTGAAAAGGGACCGAGAGAATAATTTCTGCAGTGCAAGGTGTTAATGTCAGTCTCCCACACACATCCACTTAGAAACAGAACCAAATTTCCTTTTAGAGGCTCTTCAACTTAAAGGTGAACGATCTGAATCACCGTTCCACCCAGAGTAGGTGTAATTCCTTTTTACTTGACTTACATGACAGCAACCAAACTCAGATATCACTAATACCTCCTTTCTCTTCTTTTTTATTCAAGTTTAAAAGTTTTATGGAGGCTTTGCTTTAAGATTGAAGCAAGAAGCTGATCTATGAAAGCATTTTGTTACTTTACTTCAAACTGATACAGCTAGCAAAACCCGAATATAGATGCAGTTGCTCAAGCAAAATGTGTGCCTTTTATCAACACATCTTGGTTTGGAGAGCTGGTTTAAATATACTGGAAACAGAACCCTTTCTGTAGCACAAGGAGCACCTCCAGCAACAGGGTTTGCCATTTTAATTTCATAGGCGTGTCCCTTCAGGTATAGACTAAGTTCCAGTAGCCATTAAGGTTTAATGACAAAATTAATAATTTTATCAGTAATTAAACAATTAATAATAATTAAATGTTGAATAAATCCTATATGTGAATAAATCCCAAGGTTCAAGCTCTCTTGGAGGATGTCAATGTAAGCAGTAATTAAATGCTATAAAAAATTCATTTTATTATGTTTCCATAGACAGCTAAAAAGGGAAACGCGGTGATATAGACAGACAAAGGCAGAAGTTTAAAAGGTCAGGGTTTCAACTACTGTGAGTACCATAGCTCCATGGACCGCAGGGGATTCATAGCAACGCACACTTGTTGAAAAGCTGGCCTTATTTTAAAATTGCGGAGTCCATTCAATGGGTACATCATGAGAGTCGAGGTGCAGTGGTGTACAGGACGAGCCAACAGAGATATCTTTTTTTCCCTCCCTCTGTTTCTGATCTTTCTTAGATCCCACTACTCCCCACAAAAGAGGGTTATTTTGTTGTTGTTATAACTAAAAGAGTTTTTTTTTCTCCCCCCCCCTGTCCCCAGTAAAACCCTCAAGGAAACAAATCCTTCTTGGTTTTATCCTAAAATACTTGGGTAAAGTCACCTCTTGTTGCAAAGTTCAGTGCTGGCCTCACTGAGGTACAGTGTCGTAAAAACGGTATGTGACGCTACTGGGATTTTAGAGCAGGATAGTAATGCATACTGATTCCCCTGCTTTAAAACAGACATCTTTTTGGTAGTAAAGACATGCCACAGTCTGTGTCCCAGCTGAGGGAAAATCCCACAGCAAATGGGACCATTTGTTATGGCTTGTGGAAATGTATAGCACTCCCTAATGTGGGAAAAAAGTAATAAAAAGATGGATGAATGCCCATCCAGTTCTCTATTCAAAAAATCTAGATAAGAATGTTTTAAAAGATAAACTATTCATTGGCATGTTTCTCAATAATTTATGAAGAAGGTTAAATGCATGATAAAATGTGTAAAGGGAAGCAATTTTCTTCTTGTTTTTTCACATTTAAGCTACCAGGAAGGCTAATTCTCTCATAACTTTGCTCAAGGAGTCATCAGAGACCTCACATGTTCGCTTTGAACTTTTTCTTCCCCGAAGAAAGACAGAGATAAATTCTCTCCTGAGTGTTTTTCAGTACTTGCGTTAAAAGTCAAAACCAAACAGTGCGAATCAAACTCACCTTCCCTCTCATTACTCAGGATTTATTTGGACAGATTTTTCTGCTGTCATAATTTTCTCCTCTTCTTCTTTGTCCAGAAGTCTGGAGACTCTGAGGAGTCACCTAGGAAAGGGTGATAAGAGATGAATTTCTACCACGACACAAATGTGTAGATCCAGAGATATATACGTCATCTGATCTCTATAATTAAAGAGAAGGAAAAAGAACATAAACCTGACCTTCCCCTCCTCTTTTCATAATCCATTATTAGTAACAGTACCTTTTTCTATAGGGTTCTCACATGTGTCCTTCATTATTCTGAACGAATAGCGTAAGATTAGCTTGATTTATCATTGACATTGTTCCCTGACCTTAAAAAAATGCTGTCTTTTAATCCACCCCACAGAAAAAAAATGCTGAATGAATTTCTAAAACGTGGGTGAAATAATTGCCATAGCCTCAAGGCAGCAACAATGTAAATGCTAACAAGTTATTCTGGTTTTACACGTCTATTCACCTTTATATAGATTCTACCACCTCTGCGTCTCATACTGCATGTGTTAATGCTCAGGAAGTTCTTTTGGGCCTTATAAACAGTCCCATAATATACTTGAATGTCAAATGAAATAGTTTCCTCTAATTCTCTGTTGCCTATTTAATAAGCGTATTCTTGCTCTGCACATTTACCTAGCGCCCGGTTTTGCCACCCATAGAGTCTCCCATTTTATAACCTTTTTTTTTCTTTTTTAAACTCAGCACAATAGCTTGGATTGTGACAATTGCTTATTCAGTTTCAGAGAAAGTAAAAAATGCAATATCCTTCTGCAAGATCAGCCCACATCTTGAATCCATATGTTTGAGTGTGTAGGAAAACTGGATCTGATGCCCCCACCGTGAGCAAATTAAGGCAGGAAAGGGTGACGGTAGTGATAGGAAGAGCAAGGAGCGATCCAGTCTGTAACTGTACCCTTAAGAGTGGCTGAATGGATGCAAAACTCAGGGAAAATATGCTATGTTTTATTATGACCTGCTGCATAGCACGTTTCCCTCTTGCCCAAGTCAGGAATTTCAAGTCAGAATATTCTTACTTAGGGCTGACAAATAGATTTACCGTCCAGGCCATTTGCTTCACAACCTGTTGGAGTAAGAAACCTCCCAGAAGTAAGAAAAGCTTTCTGTGAGCTGAATTACATTTTCACCAAAGCCTGTGCAGATCCAGACTGGCCTTTGTCGAAGTCAAAGCAATAACGTCTACTGGTGTCAGCAGTCAAACGTTTCACCCAGAAGTGAGAAGCCCAGTACCAGCTGCTCGCCACAGCTGAACCCCTGCGTGCCCAATGCCAGGGCACCCCGAGGGCTTCCCCCAGAGCCTCCCGGCACCCGGCAGGATCCTGGCATCGGGGCACCTATGGCAGCGCTACTGACTCTTACAGCTACAACATAAGCTAAGTAGACTCTAAGTGATATCAGGAACAGTATGACGTGGTACTTTATTTTTAATGGGGACATGCTGGTACAATTTAGGGAATAAATACGCAAATGTCAAGGCACCTTAGGAGGAACACAGGGGCAGAAAACGGTATATTAGCAGTAGCAGAGAGAGACAAGAAGGAAAACGCAAGCCGGAGGACGGATAGAAAGGGATAAGTAGGCAGCATAGCTCATACCGCGCCTGATAAATTTTCTTTAACAGGCAGCGTCTAAAACTCAGTGAAAAAAGTTCCAGAAGAAAAAAAACATATTTTCCACGCTTATTTCTTCAGAGGCTGATTAAGTAACGAGCAGGCTACGAATTCAGCTGGTGTAAAGGGTTGCACAGAACAGCAACTGCAGAGCAAAATCAGGGTCTTACTGCCAGTCACGGTAGCAGTCTCCAAACTACCGGGGGATCTGAGCGGTTGCAGTTTGCACACAGGCGAGCACAGGCTGGAAAAGGGACGCTTAAAAAGTTTAACCAAATAATATATTCATCCAGGCAGCTGCAGCCATGCTAGACCCAAATACCTCCGAAGGAACCCACCTGTTAATGATCCCGCACCAGGTTTTAGCATGGAAGGGGGCAGATTGCAATTAGAAACATTGAACCTGTTCTTGATCTCTCTTACGCAAAGCAGATTAGCAGTTACAGGGCTGTAAAGGCTGGAAAGGGAGGAGCCAGCAGTGGGAGGGAGAGGTGGCCAGTCCCAACCCAGGTTTCACAGGCGCAGGAATGAAAAATAACAAGGGAAAGAACAGGTTTCATGTTAACAGAGCAGCTGGAATTCAAGCCTGAAAAATTTCAGGGCTTTTCTTCCCCTCTATTTATATAAAATTTATGACGCAAATACAACTGTATTTTTGTATGCTGTGCCTCTCAGCTCTATTTATAATTTGACCATCGCTTTCAAACCTGGCTGATTAATATTAGGCCATTAAAATCATGCTCAGATTTCTAAACAAACATTCTCCTTTTTTATTGTTGTTGGAAGTGTTGAACTCCTGCCTTCCCCTATGGCATGTTATAGGATGGTTTTGCCTTTCAGCAGACTCTTAGGGCAAAGTAAAACAAACACTTGTATGCAATCGCATAAGAGTCTCAGAAATTAGGCTCCTGAGGATATCCTGTTGTAACTGAGGTGCTGCTCTCACCCCAGTCCCCATGCTCCAGCAGAGTCAGCCTGTGAACTTGGAATCACGGACTCACACAAACTTGGGTGGAAAGGGGGTCATCTGTCCCAGACCCTGCCCGGCACAGGGCCAAATTCAAAGTTGGGACACTGTTTTTTCCCTCCTCTCCCACCAGGTATTTGCAGGGAGTCACGGGGTCTCCCCTTCCCCAAGCCAAACTAATGCCGTGCCCCTGTCCTCTCCTCGAGCGAGGTGGGCTCCAGCCCCCGGGGCGCCCCTGCCAGACCCGCTCCTGTCTGCCATCGACTTTCTCGTGCCCCTCTGGTTTCTGCTGCAGGGCCTTGCTCCAGCCCTGGGGCAGGGCTTTGCTTTTGCCTCTGTTGAACTTCACGTTGCTCCCGTTGGCCCATTGTCTCCAACCTGCCCAGGTCCCCCTGAACCCCAGCCCTGCCCACCGGCGTATCGACCATCACCCCATCCTACCCACTTCATCACACACCAGCTCAATTTCTTTGCCTGTTCCACAGGCAGGCAGATAGGAAGTACCACTGAAATCCAAACGATCTTTGCTGAGGGGTAAAAGACCTCATCCACATCAGTAAGCGGAGCCTATACTTCTAGAACTTGTTCCCAAACGGTCGCTCATGCTGTCTGCATCCGCAGTAACTGCCTACGGATTCACACCACATGTACCCTGCTTTAAATTTAATGATTTGCCATCAAAATGTCCTGACCAAGATCGTATTGTTGTAACTAGTCAAAAACCCTATCGCTTTCTGCGTTTGCTGCTTTCTCTGTAAGATAATATCCTCACCTTATTTCACAGGGGATCAGGAGGATGAATGCATTATTAATACAGAAAGCATTCAGATCTGGGGGGGTCAGAAGCACCAGCACTTACGAATTATCTTATGAATACAATATAAATTATTCAGCAAGTATATGTCCTTCTCACAAAGGAAATCATAGGGTTTGGCTCTACTGAGCTTACAGATTCCTAACTAGAGAGGGAAAAAAAATTAAATCCTAAAACATAAATGTAAACAAGAATGTAAATACAAATTAAAATACTTTTAAATACCTCATTGACAAAGTTTGCCCACATGTCACATTTTACTTTAATAGTGACTTTGTCCACCATTTTAGGAAAAAAAAGTGCTCATTTCTTATGATATATGCTCCTGCAACTCTAGTTTTACTTTGACAAGTTCATTTATTAATCTATTTTCTTTGTTTATTGCTTTTTTTGGTGGAATGAAATCTCATACATTCCCTAATGTGCCAACTTTCATTAATTAAAAAAAAAAAACCAACCAACAACCCTTTCAGATTAAAAGTGTATTGTTATGCCTATGGTAATTTTGCCTATGGTAATTTTACCATGGATTTTAATAAAGCCAGAACTCCACCCTAAAACTTTCAGAAACTGGGGGAATTTCTTTACAGAGAATTTGGAACCCACTGGACTTTATATTGTTTTCCTTTTCAAGCTCACA